GTCTCAGGGCCTTTGCACATGCCGAGGTTTCTTCCCTCCATGTGTCCTTCTTTCACTTGGATAACACAAATGCTACTTTTAGGTATAATTGTAAATGCCAACTCCTGATGCTTGACACTCCAACAAAATTAGAGCCCCCTGTTTACATGCCTTTGTACTTTTGCTCCCTATTTTCCCGTTACGACACGGATCACAACTGTAAATGATGTTGATTTGTGTGTCTACTTGTTCAGTACTCGTCTCCCACACTGGACTGAGAGTGGTTTGAGGACAGTGGTTGTATCTGTGGGGATTGTAGCTGTTTCTGACACATAGTAGCATTGTAGGTACTTGGTAATAAGTGCTAGATGAATGCATGAAGGAATGTTGTGAAGTGAGAGATTATGTAGCCCAAGAAGCCCCTGAAGACTTCATGGAGGCAGACGAGGCTTGATTTTTGCTCTTGAAGAATGGACAAAACTTGGAGCGGGCAGGGGGAAACACTATAGGCAGGAATAACACTCGTCAGCAAAGGCAGAGAGTTGGGAATAAGTATGTAGATGCTGGGGCATCCCAGGTGGCGCTAGTGGTAAAGAACCCACCTGCCCGTGCAGGAGACATAAGAGACATAAGAGGTTTGATCTTTGACTCGGGAAGATCCCCTGGAGGAGGGCATGGCAACCCACTCCAGCAGTCTTTCCTGGAGAATCCCCGTGAATGGAGGCGCCTAGGGGACTATAGGCCATAGTGTTGCAGAGTCAGACTTAACTGAAGCGACTTAGCATGCAGGCATGCATGTAGATGCTGGCTTGATTAGAGGTGTGTGTTGACACAATCTGGAAAATAAGATTGGATCGGTGGGAAATGATCCAGTAGGGACAATGTAAATCTGAGAACAACATTAAATATTAGGTAACCTGATAGCTCAGCTGGTAAAGAATCCGCCTGCAATGCAGGAGACCCCGGTTTGATTCCTGGGTTGGGAAGATCCCCTGCAGGAGGGCATGGCAACCCACTCCAGTATTCTTGCCTGAAGAATCCCTGTGGACAGAGGATCCTGGTAGGCTACTGTCCATAGGATCAGAAAGAGACAGACATGACTGAGCAACTCACACAAACTAGCAAGTTTCATACAGTGCATATTTTGTTTCAAGTATATTTCCAAGTGCTTTATGAAAATAAGCTCATTGAATCCTCACCACATACCTATGGAGCGAGGATTATTTTTGTGTCCCTTTTACAGCAGGGAAAGCTGAGGCACAGGGGGATTATCTTGTTAAAGTCATCATGGCTGATGAGTGCAGAGCTGGGATTCACATCTGGGCAGTGCAGCTACAGCGTCTGCTTGCTTAAATATTATGCCCTCTTGAAAGGTAGAGACAAAACTTGGCTCTGAGGGTTGCAGAATAGAGACAACTCTGGGGGCTGCAGAACAGAGATATATGACAGAGAAGCCCCAGTGTTCTGGTCTTGAAATTGGCTGCAGGATGTTGCTGGTCCAGAAATGAGGGGACTGGGAAAGGGAGCTGCATTGTGGTGAAGGAAATGGTGGTGAGGGGGAGGAACTCAGCAGTGGAGCAAGATTTGAGAAGTGTGACCCAGAAGGCTTAGTGAGTGGCTATTGCATAGGGTTTAGAGTCAGGTAGATGCTGGTCCGAGTACTGGCTTTGCTGTCTCTTTGCAAGTTTCAACATCTATCCAGTGGGTTTAATCGTAGTACATACCCCAAATGTTAGGATTAAAAACACAAATTAAGAGAACCTCCTGACATCTTGCTTGGCACACACAGTGGGCGCCTAGTGAAAGTGAATACTCTTCACAGGACTTTGGATGACCAGGATTGTCATAGGTGCTGGCTGTGAACTGGAAGTGTTGATATGAATATGTACTTGATGCCAGCCAGCCGGGCGCATCTGAGCAGTCTTCATGCAAAGGCACTCTGAGGTCTCATGCACCAAAACCTTGCAGGGAGCAAGGGGGTCCTTCCAGGGGTCAGGTGCCTGCTTCTCTCCTCCAACTCTCTGGCCTTCGCAGAGGGCTTCGTACTGGGTCTCCTGAGCAGATGTCCAGTTAGTTAAGCCCCTGGGTCTTTTCTCTCCATCCCTAATCAGCTCCCCAGATGCCCTGTTTTTGGCAAACTCCTGCTTCTCAGGGCTGCAGGTTGCTGCGTCTTCCCTTCACGGTATCCATCACCTACCTGCTCCATCTCTTAGATCCTTCCCTCTCCAAGAATGCCTGGAGCCACTCCTCTCGAAGTGTTGGCTGAGATAATTTGACCTGACACACGGCCACAGTATTAGAAAGCAGTGTTAGTGAGGAGGTTTTCCCCTTGCAGCTTCTTCTAATTAAGCCAAGGGAAGCATCTTCTTTGTTGCTAGAGTATCTTAACATCTTTCTAACATTTTGATTATGTCCTTTTTTACAAAGAGCAGGCAGCCGGTCTTTGGCTTACAATAGGCAGCAGCTAGAATATGGCAGGATTGTGCTGCTTTTTACTGTAGTTATTCTCCCAGTTACCATTTGCTTATAGTAAGCAATCCCAGTTTTCTTTTTCACAGTAGTGATATAAAGTTCACTTTCAAGATATATTTATTGAAGTAAAAAGCGAGTCAATTTAAAGAGAAACATTAAATAAATAATGGCTGATGTGGTACGTGGATATGAAGCACTTTTGCAAGGGTTGAATTCAAATGTCTGAGGTTTGGGAAATGCAATTGGAAGGAGGAAATTGGTCAAATTAGGAAGCAGAGTCTTGGCTCTCAATGCTGGCTCTGTTATCGGCACCTAAGACACTCTCCTCGAGCCTCTATTTCCTCACCTGCTGAAATGCGGATAATAATTCTTCCTACACATGGGTTGTCTTAAGGATTCAGTGAGATAATTTGATGTATGGGTGTAATTTGCAAGCAATGTCTCTCAAGTGTCAAACAAAACAAATTGTTGCTAGTCTGTGCTCTACAATAAAATTTACTGTGGGTGTGAGTGTGGGCACGTGACTAGCTTCCCAGGACTTGGAACCTGCAGCGGGAATGAAGGCTGGACAATCACACACCCTCTCTGGCCTCAGTTTCCTCCTTGGTAAAATGGGGATATTTCTGGGAGGATTAAATGATGCAATATGTGTAAGGTTCTAGAACACTACATGGTACTTAGCAGAGTCAGGTAAGCATGAGCGCCTATGACCATAACTCAGTCCCCTTGAGTGGCTGGAGCTGGAAGTAGGATGGAGGAGTGATGAGTTGGTGTGTGCCACACTCACCCCAGGAGTCACTTCAGGCAGGGATGCTATCCATCTCTCATGTTTTATGATGAATATTCAAAATATTCAAATGTCCTTCCACTTCACTCCCCTGAGCTCCTCAGAGACTGTGCAAAGTACACCCTTACCCCCAAAAGAGACTCCCTCTCATTTGGCTTCAGTCTTCCTACAGTCTTGCTTGCTGTGGACTGAATGGGATCCCTCCCTGCCATCCAAATCCACACATGGAAGCCCTAAGCTTCAAGATGATGACATTTGGAGATGAGGCATTTGGGAGGTAATTAGGGATCAAGCTCAAGCTCAAGTGCGCATGCTCAGTCGTGACCCCATGCTCTTTGTGACCCCATAGACTGCAGCCCATCAGGCTCCTCTGTCCGTGGGATTGTCTAGGCAAGAATACTGGAGTGGGTTCTCTCCGGGGGATCTTCCTGATCCAGGGATCGAACTCACACCTCCTCCATCTCCTTCGTTGCAGGCAGATTTTTTTTTACCACTGAGCAATCGGGAAATCCCTTAATGAGGGTGGGCCCTTGTGATGGAGTTAGTGGCTCTGTCATGTGAGGACAGTGAGAACGTGGCTGTCTGCAAGCTAGGAGGAGAGCCCTCACCAAGAACTAAATCTGCTGTCACCCTGATCGGGAACTCCCCAGCCTCCATAACTGTAAGAAATAAATGTCTGGTGTTTAAGCCACCCTGATCTATAGTACTTGTTATGGAAGCCCAAACTCAGATAATGCTCATTCTACCTAGAGTTCATCCATAAGGTAAAAAGCCTACATACTGACTATGTGTAATGTGCTAATCATTTTTTTTTGTGCTAATCATTTTATACAAGATGTTTTATTTAAGCCTCACAACTCTGTCAAGGAGAGTACTGTACCATGCTCCATTTTACAGATGAGAAGCCTGAGGCTTGAAGGTCAGGTGGACTTTCCCCAGTTCCTAGAGCTGCTGGGTACCAGAGCTAGATTTCTGAACACATGTTTGCCCTCAGTAGCTTCTGGGGATTCAGGTGAGGGTTACAGACTCCGCCATTGGTGAGGGCACCGTGCTGTCCTCAAAAGGGGAAGGAGGATCCTTCCCAGTGACTGGAGTGTGGATGAGCAAAGCTCAGCTTTCAACATGGACATGAGTCAGCTTGAGGGCAGGGCAGTGAGTTTGTGTAGGAATTACCCAGAAGAAACAAAGCACCCCAGCTCCGTGAGTTACAACAAGGCAAAACCTTTAATACATGAGTGCTTATTACATTAGCTGCTTCGGGGCTCTGACATCTTTGATTTCTGGTCATGTTATTTTAACACGGAAAGGTGAATGCCTCTGTCCGGGCCACCTGGGCGGTTAAGTGGCCTGAGGATTTGCATGAGTGGACAATGGGGACACCTGTGCACACACCTGGGGATTTGGAGACCCCGCACCGCCCCCCCTCCCCCAGCCACCACCCGTGACTTTGAGTAAAGTCCTCTTCCAAGGAGGGAAGAATGAGGAGGTCCTTCCAGTAAAGAAGGAAGAGAGGAAAACATCTGTCACAGATACACACAGAGAGAAACGACATCATGGGATTGGCCTGATAAGTGGAGGAAGGGATGGACGGGTTAGGACCTGGGGGGGAGGAGCGAAGTGTGGGAGAGGGCTGAGTCCATTTGGTTTCATTCTTTGTAAAAAGTAATACCATCACGAGGACCATGCCATGCAACCTCAGAGACTCCTCTGTCCACTTCCCCCCGCGCTGTGCTGGGGCGGAGGGCAGAGGGCCGAGGTCAGTTCAGACCGGCGTGGTGCGCCTGTTGGCCGGGTTATTATGCAGCGACTCTTTGAACTCTTTGGGCGTGGAGTTGTGGAACTGTAGAAAAGCGTGGTCCCGGTCAGAGTTGAGGAGGGTCCCCATGGTGATCTTTGAGGGGTCCCGGGAGAGGGTGAACATTGAGATGTCAGTGGAAGGGATGGTGTGGAAGCCTTTGCTGATGGGGGACAGGTCTCGGGATCTGGGTTCCGTGGAGCGGGAACTTGACCGCCTCCGAAATCTATACCTGTAGGGTGGAAGGCGAGCAAAGGTAGATTTCTTCAGGAGCTCCGAGTGGGATTTGGCACGTAACTGCTGATGCTTTTCTATATAGATGTGCACGGCGACAACCCCCACAATTTCCGCGATGATGAAAGAGAAGGCTCCGAAGTAAAAGGACCACCCGTAGGAGTAGCTCTTTTTGGAGTCGCGCTGCCCAGGGTCTCCAGCGTTGGCTGATATATAAACTATGATGCCGATGATGTTGCTTAGCCCTAAGAGAAGGGGAAAGAAAAAGACATCCTTTATAAACCTCAGAAGTCACTGTCACTTTTAGGCTTGAACTATTTATTTTGAAAATGTGGAGATGACAGGGAGAGAGGAGAATGGATTTATGGCTGGAAATCCAGCTGCTGAACTCTTCTTGCAGGGTCTGTCTCTCGGGAAATGAAAAATTCTGCTGATCCATCCCCGGTGGGAAGCATGTAGCTAAAGAATACACTGTACTTCTCCAGCAAGTGCAGAAGAACTCAGAGTGCACGTATTTCCCTTTAGAAACAATTCATTCCATCAAAACTTAGTCTTTGGCACTAAGTCATGAGAATGGTAAAATGAACGAGATACAGATCCTTGCCCTTGAGTTCCTCACCATTAGTAGGAGAAACTGACATGTAAATGCAATTACAGCAGAATACAGGAAGGGCTCCACCAGAGACACATGTAAAATGGTTCAGGAGCAAAAAGAGAGGATGACTAAGTCACTTTGTCCTGAAGACAAGGTGACGTTTGAGCAGGTCCTGAACAGCTCCTGGCTCACGGGGAGATGAAAGGCTATTGACAACAGAGTTGAGAATAACTTGGAGTAAAAGTCTCGCCTGGATGATGGGAAGGTTGATGGCAGCTTGAGCCTCAATAAGAGTCAGCAGAGAGAAGAGCTTAGAGAAGAAGAGTGGCGTTAGAAGTGCTTATTGAGAGTCCAAATAGGGCTACCCAGTGGATATTTCTGGGTCTGGAGCTGCAGTTTGGAGAAAGAATAATCCATGGGTAAGGGACAGTAACTAACTATATCTTTTTATCTGCACAGGGGGATACAATAATGTTTTAAATTAGCTATTGTTCAAACATCAGAAATTGGGGAACGTGAAGCTGTTGTCCCCAGTAGGCAAGTTCTGCAGACTTGGTTGTCCTCAAGTGCCAACAGAATAGTTTTGGAAAGAGCTGCCCAGTCGCTTGGAGAGAAATTGATTCTCTAGGGAGTAGTAAGAAAGAATGAAAGAACCTGAGGGTCTGTGGCTGCTTCTCTCACATGATTGTCCAAAGCTGATGATATGTCTTTGTGTCTCTTTGCTTTAAGGGCCTCATCTGAGCCTTATACCAGTAATGACTCAGGGAGGCTTGTACATCACCTGGAGTCTTCTAGCCTACAAACCCAGGCTGCCTCTAAATGGAAGTTGTCCCTTGTTACAGTTCCCAGTGCATACGTGTTAAGTCACTTCAGTCATGTCTGACTCTTTGTAACCCTATGGACCATAGCCCACAAAGCTCCTCCAGCCATGGGATTCTCCAGGCAAGAATACTGGAGTGGGTTGCTGTGCCCTTCTCCAGGGGATCTTCTGGACCTAGAGATCCAACCCAAGACTCTTACGTCTCCTGAATTGGCAGGCTGCTCCTTTATTACACAGTTCCCAGTAAATAACCTGCCATTGAATGCCTCATACTCTTCCTGGGGATCCTCAAGATTTCTCCAGAGTCCAGCAAACCAAAGTGTTAAAGTTTTTTTTGTTGTTGTTGTTCTTTTTAATCGGGGTATAGTTGCTTTGGAACTTCCCACTAGTGGTAAAGAATCTGCCTGCCAATGCAGGAGACCCAAGAGACGTGGGTTTGATCCCCTGGAGTGGAAAGTGGCAACCCACTCCAGTATTCCTGCCTGGAAAACTCCATGGCCAGAGGAGCCTGGAGGGCTACAGTCTATGGGGCTGCAGAGAGTCAGACACGACTGAGCGACTGAGCAGCATAGTTGCTTTACGATATTGTATTAGTTTCTGCTGGACAACAACATGAATCACCTATAGGCCTGCATATATCCCCTTCCTCCAGGACCTCTCCACCCCCTACCCCTACCACCCATCTAGGTCACCACCAGGCGCCGAACTGAGCTCGTAGGAACCTACAGTAGGTTCCCATTAGCTATCTGCTTTATGCATGGCAGTGCACATAAGTCAGTCCCAATTTCCCAGTTCATCCCCGCACCTCAGATCCACACATCCATTCCCTACATCTGCGTCTCTACTCCTGCCCAGTAAATAGGCTCATCTGTACAAAGGGTTAATGTTTGGCACAGCAAGGCCATTCCATTCTACTCCAGTGCTACCGTTCTGATTGGCTGGTGCTCATGCATTAAAGGGATTCCTATTTTGACTATGACCTCTGGCCATACTCCATCTAGGACTCTCCCCTAGAAGGCAGGGCCAGGGTCTGCTTCTTCCCTGTCTCCTCTTGGCTTTACCCAGCACAGGCACTCAGCAGGTAGGCAGTGGGTTCTAATCACTGAGCTATTTCTTCATATGGGGGTTGATGCGGCCAGCCCTGTGTCAAGCTGCAGAAAACCACAGGGTGAGAAAAAAAACGGCTTCTCTTTCTGGAGTGTCAGTTTGGCTTGAAGATGAGTAGGGAAGACACATTCTTTTATATTAAAATGAACATGGATATAATAAGGAGAAGAGAGCAGAATTCACATGAATTTTTAAGTATAAATGGGAGACAGACTTCAAAGACATTTCAGCTCATGGAAGGCAGCTTCTGGTGATGCCCCCTGACTCCCCAGGGCCACACTTTTCACTCTCCTCTGCCTGCAGGGAAATCTTGGTGGCAAAGTTTGAGAAGCCCTGGAAAGAAGTCTTGCTGGGGGGAAAAAAAAAGAAGATGCTCAAAGAGATACTCGGATGTCATCGCAGGCTAAGGGAGGTGACAAGCCAAGTAAGTTGCCACTTATTTCTAGGGCATTGATGATATGCCAGGCACTGTGCAAAGTCTTTACGTGCATGATCTCAATTAATCATTGCAACAGTCCCGCTTTAAAGAAAAACAAAAAACCAAAAAAACTGTTTTTACAGATGAGGAAACTGGGACACAGAGAAGATAAATAACTTCCCGTCAACACAGCTGGGAAATGGCGTGTGTGCTTGTGCTGAACTGCTTCAGTCGTGTCCGACTCTTTGCGACCCTTTGGACTGTAGCCCGCCAGGCTTCTCTGTCCATGGGGGTTCTCCAGGTAGAAATACTGGAGTGGGTTGCTATGCCCTCCTCCAAGAGATCTTCCTGACCCAGGGATTGAACCGGTGTCTCTTAAGTCTCCTCCATTGACAGGTAGGTTCTTTACCACCTGGGAGGACCTGGGAAATGGCAAAGGTGGAGTTTGAACCCAGGACTGTTTCTTAAAAGCTCCCTGAGCGTAGATCTAGCTAGGTTTGTTCATTGCTCTGGTTTTATCTCCTTGCCCAGAGCCTGACCCAAAGCAAGAGAGGAGTACATATTTGTTGAATTGAAGCAACATGAGCATTAAATGGTACAAAGTATATAATGCCAGCTACTGTGCCTCCTAGGTGGCGCTAGTGGTAAAGAAACTGCCTGCCAATGCAGGAGACATAAGAGATGCAGGTTTGATCCCTGGGTTGGGAAGATCCTCTGGAGAAGGACATGGTGACCCACTCCAGTATTCTTGCCTGGAGACTCCCAAGGACAGAGGAGCCTGGTGGGCTACAGTCCATGGAGTCACAGTTGGACATGACTGAAGTGACAGCACGCACTATGCATCCCGCAGTTACTGCCAGCTAGATGCAGTTCTGGGCATTTTCCACATACTAACTATTTAATCCTCTGAGCAGGCTTAAGAGGTAGAGCCATTTATTACCCCCATTTTTCAGATGAGAAAACTGAGGCACTGATTGGTTAAGAGACTTGCCTGAGGTTACCACCCAGGGAAGTGGTAGAACCACGATTTGCCCCAGGCAGCCTGACTTCAGAGCCCATGGTCTTGAATATAATGCCCAGTTCCTGGCACATAGTAGATACTCAATAAAGGGTTGTTGACTGCTTGCCAGAAATCATAGAACCTTAGAATAACTGAGGAAAAGAGCCTTTGGGAGTGCTGAATCCTACTTTCCTTTTGTAGGTGAAAGAACTGAGGCTCTTTAGGGTCCCCAGGGAGGTCAGTGGTGGGGAAAGCTAGGATTAGACCCCTGGCGTCTGGCTCCCCCTCAGGGCCTTGTTACTGCCCCTCGTGTTCCCCAGCTCCCGTGGGTCTATTCTACCTGCTGTCTCTCACAACACCCCTTGTGACAAGACGTTTGCTGGTGACACACTCTCCCTTCACAACCCCCTTGGGGGACAAAATAATGATCTTCTCCTGTTTAGGAAACCCTCATGTCAGCACAACACAGCATCCTCTGGGTCAGTCAGAGACCGGGGGGTCTGGAGGGGCCCCCGACAACTAGAACGTGCCTCAGAGCAATGCAAGGCCCGGGGTTTGCCAGCTGTTAGCGTCTGTCCACACAGAGTGTCACCTTTAATAAGATCATAGGCTGATCTTATCCTCCTGACAAAATGGTCTGTGGCTCGAGTTGCTTCCTAGACACTCAGCACTGGATTCCGTCCACCTTCCCCATTTCCGAGAAGGGAAAAGAGTAGGGAGGAAACAGAAAGATCCTAGAGGGGGCTGGGCTTCCAACTTCAGAACTATTGTGTTGCTTTTACCTTGCTAGAAAATAATATTGTGCTTTTTACTTTCAACCTCCTTCCAACAACCCTATGAAATAAGTACTGGTACTTTTACCCCCCATTTCACAGTTGAGGAAATTAAGTTACAGGGAGTTGGTAACATTCCCAGGGCCCCACAAGTTTAGCCAGAATTCAAATCCAGGCAGGTAAGCTATTCTTTCTTTGTGGTTCTTGTTTCGTCGCTAAGTCGCGTCTGTCTCTTTTGCAACTCCATAGGCTGTAGCCCGCCAGGCTCCTCTGACCATGGGATTTCCCAGGCAAGAATACTGGAGTGGGTTGCCATTTCCTCCTCCAGGGGATCTTCCCCACCCAGGGATAGAAACCCACATCTCTTGTATTTCCTGCATCGGCAGGCGGATTCTTTAGCACTATCACCACCTGGGAAGCCCCCATCTGCTTCTACCCCTAAATATTCTGCCATTATGGGTTAAAGTTTGGAGGTCATCATCAAAGAGTCAAGCTCTCTTCCCTCTTTTCATCTGTAAAGTATTTCATTCATATGGCATTGACTGAAGGCTGGGGTGGGAAAAGACTGTAAAGCGATGGAGGGTGGAAACCCAAAAGGGAGGAAGATGAAGCGGGTGGAGGAGGGATGGAGATAAAGAAGGAGAGAGGAGGCAGAAACAGGACCCCTTCTCGAGAGTGTCTCATCCTCCCTACCACCCCCTGCCACCTTCCAGTCAGAGCTGCTTGATAAGACCTTCCCTGAGAGCATCTGAGGCTGCTGGGTTTTCTGTTGTTCCCAGAGATGCTCTGGACAGCCTGAGGATTTGAGGGCTTGAAGAGCTGTGACCAGTAGTTCACCAGCAAACCCAGGTCTCACAGGGCCAGAGATAGTGTATGACCATATCCAAGTGAACAGAAAGTTGGACCCCTCTACAACACACCGGACTCATCTCTCGGGTCACACCTTACACACACCATGCACGCTCCCTGCTCACTCTGAGCAGACATACAAGGCACATTCTTATTAATCATTCTCCCATCTCTGAGCTGACCTAAGTACCTCATCTCCTCCTCATCTTCCCTCTGTCCACTCTCCAGCTAGATTGTCAGCATCTTTGGTTCTTATTAAAGCCTTTGGTTCTCATTCTTAGCACACAGGTCGAACATTGTCTTGCCCCTTCCCTGGAGGGAACCCTGAATAGCATGGCTTTGTCCTTCCGGCCCTGGCTCGGGTTTGGTGTCTGTGATGCTCTCCGGGCAGAGGCCAAGGTGCTCACCTGCAGAGACAAAAAAGATGCCCGCGCTGAGGATGACATTGTGTCTGCTGCGGTGGAACTCGCTGGCTGCCACGCAGAGCCCGCCGAAGAAGAGCAGAGTGACGCTGAGGATGGGGAAGACGCTGGAGGCTCTCACAGCCCCTGCAGAGAGAAGGAGAGAGGGTTCTGCCTGCACCCAGCCAGCCCTGGGATCCCCCTCCATGGGCATGGGGGTGACTGGTTGGAGGACAGCACGTGAGCAGGAGTCTACATCTAAACCCTGGGCTTGGGGTTAATGGTCTGTAGTCATCATCCTGAAATGCATAATAGCTTTACCTTTGAAAATGTGTTTTTCAAATAAGTCTGATGGGCCAATGGAGCATGCGCCATGGGCTTCGAACCTCGACTCACGTGGCATCCCACTCCCCACCACATTGCTACCTCCCGTTCTCCTTGGGGTGGTTCCTAGCTGCCCCCTCCTCTACCCCAACCAGTGACTGCTGCCACCCTTGGCTCCTGGGCATGGACACGGGGAGAATCAGGGTTGGGTGCAAGCCCTGGGCATCCTTGAGAGTCCTCATGCTGCAGGGAGTGTGACATTACATAGCAAGTAAGACACCATGACAGGTGGAGAGAGAGAAGGCAGAAGGGAAACAGCATTTTTGGCCTGCGTTTTGAACCAGAAACCCAGGATTTTCATTTTGCCCTGGGCCCTGCAATTTAGCTAACCAGCAGGGCATCCTGGGATTCCCAGTAGATCACAAGCTCTCTTTCCCAAAACACAGGTACATTTGCTTAGTACTGAGTCTGGCAGTGACCATGCAATATCTATTTAGTCACTGGATAAACACATGAATTTAGATATTCATTCATCAAGGCTTCTTGGGCACATATAAAATGCCAGGGGCTCGGCTGGGTCCTGGCATACTGGCAGAAATGTTTAACCACCCCAAGGGGCACAGGTGTGGCCCTTCAAAGGGGAAAAAGGGGATGCTAGCTGAGGCCCAGGGCAAGTCTTTGAAACAAGTGTGTTAGCTCTTGTTGCTGGATCACAGAGAGCCCTTAAGGTTTTGGTGGAAGGGGCCTTCAGGTGGGGATCCCAGTATTTACCCAACCAGCATTAGAGTATTTCCTAGAATACTTGAGCCAGAATTATTCTGCCTTCACTGAGGTACAAAAGAGCTAAGGTCCCACCCTTACAGGGCTTACATTCTAACAGAGATGATGGGTAGGAGCTGCTACCTAATTTGCAGGGCCCTAGACAGGATGAAAATGCAAGGCCTCTTGTTTTAAAATTACTAAGAATTTCAAGATGGTATGGTGACTAGACTTATCATGGCAATCATTTTGAAATGTATAGAAATATCATATCATTTTGTTATGTAACAGGAAGCAACATAGCATTGTAGGTCAGAAAGTGAAAGTCACTCAGTCACATCCAATTCTTTGCGACCCAATGGACCCCAGTCCATAGAATTCTCCAGGCCAGAATCCTGGAGTGGGTAGCTGTTCCTTTCTCCAGCAGATCTTCCTGAAGCAGGGATCTAACTGGAGTCTCCTGCATTGCAGGTGGATTCTTAACCAGCTGAGCTACCAGGGAAGCCCCAGTTGTAGGTCAGATCTACTTCAAAAACAAACTCAGAGGAAAACAGACCAGATTTGTGGTTACTAGAGGTGGGGACTAGGCGGAGGGGGAATGAAATGAAGGTGGTCAAAAGGTAGAGACTTCCAGGTTATAAGAAAAATAAGTACTAGGGATTTAATGTGCAGCATGGTAAATAAAATTAACACAGCTGGACATTATACATAAAAACTGAGAGAGTACTTCCTAGGAGTTCTCATCACAAGGAAACACATTTTTTCTGCTTCTTTAATTTTGTGTCTATATGAGATGGTGGATGTTCACTAAACATACTGTGGTCATCATTTCATGATGTATGTAAGCCACACCATGATGCTATACACCTTAAATCTTTTTTTTTTTTTTTTAGCTTTAAAACTTTACTTTTTATTTTTATTTTTATTTTTTTTAAATTTATTTATTTATTTATTTTTATCACAACCATAGTGTATCTTTTTTTTTTTTTTTTTTTTTACATGTATTCCCCATCCCGGTCCCCCCTCCCACCTCCCTCTCCACCCAATCCCTCTGGGTCTTCCCAGTGCACCAGGCCCGAGCACTTGTCTCATGCACCCAACCTGGGCTGGTGAACTGTTTCACCTTAGATACTATACGTGTTTCAATGCTGTTCTCTTGAAACATCCCACCCTTGCCTTCTCCCAGAGTCCACAAGTCTGTTCTATACATAGGAGTCTCTTTTTCTGTTTTGCACATAGGGTTATCGTTACCATCTTTCTAAATTCCATATATATGTGTTAGTATACTGTAATGGTCTTTATCTTTCAGGCTTACTTCGCTCTGTATAATGGGCTCCAGTTTCATCCATCTCATTAGAACTGATTCAAATGAATTCTTTTTAATGGCTGAGTAATATTCCATGGTGTATATGTACCACAGCTTCCTCATCCATTCATCTGCTGATGGGCATCTAGGTTGCTTCCATGTCCTGGCTATTATAAACAGTGCTGCGATGAACATTGGGGTACACGTGTCTCTTTCAGATCTGGTTTCCTCGGTGTGTATGCCCAGAAGTGGGATTGCTGGGTCATATGGCAGTTCTATTTCCAGCTTTTTAAGAAATCTCCACACTGTTTTCCATAGTGGCTGTACTAATTTGCATTCCCACCAACAGTGTAAGAGGGTTCCCTTTTCTCCACACCCTCTCCAGCATTTATTGCTTGTAGACTTTTGGATAGCAGCCATCCTGACTGGTGTGTAATGGTACCTCATTGTGGTTTTGATTTGCATTTCTCTGATAATGAGTGATGTTGAGCATCTTTTCATGTGTTTGTTAGCCATCTGTATGTCTTCCTTGGAGAAATGTCTGTTCAGTTCTTTGGCCCATTTTTTGATTGGGTCATTTATTTTTCTGGAGTTGAGCTGGAGGAGTTGCTTGTATATTTTTGAGATTAATCCTTTGTCTGTTGCTTCGTTTGCTATTATTTTCTCCCAATCTGAGGGCTGTCTTTTCACCTTGCTTATAGTTTCCTTTGTTGTGCAAAAGCTTTTAAGTTTCATTAGGTCCCATTTGTTTATTTTTGCTTTTATTTCTAAAATTCTGGGATGTGGGTCATAGAGGATCCTGCTGTGATTTATGTCGGAGAGTGTTTTGCCTATGTTCTCCTCTAGGAGTTTTATAGTTTCTGGTCTTACATTTAGATCTTTAATCCATCTTGAGTTTATTTTTGTGTATGGTGTTAGAAAGTGTTCTAGTTTCATTCTTTTACAGGTGGTTGACCAGTTTTCCCAGCACCACTTGTTAAAGAGGTTGTCTTTTTTCCATTGTATATCCTTGCCTCCTTTGTCAAAGATAAGGTGACCATAGGTTCGTGGATTTATCTCTGGGCTTTCTATTCTGTTCCACTGATCTATATTTCTGTCTTTGTGCCAGTACCATACTGTCTTGATGACTGTAGCTTTGTAGTATAGTCTGAAGTCAGGCAGATTGATTCCTCCAGTTCCATTCTTCTTTCTCAGGATTACTTTGGCTATTCGAGGTTTTTTGTATTTCCATACAAATTGTGAAATTATTCGTTCTAGTTCTGTGAAAAATATCGTTGGTAGTTTGATAGGGATTGCATTGAATCTGTAGATCGCTTTGGGTAGTATAGCCATTTTGACAATATTGATTCTTCCAATCCATGAACACGGTATATTTCTCCATCTGTTTGTGTCCTCTTTGATTTCTTTCATCAGTGTTTTATAGTTTTCTATGTATAGGTCTTTTGTTTCTTTAGGTAGATATACTCCTAAGTATTTTATTCTTTTTGTTGCAATGGTGAATGGTATTGTTTCCTTAATTTCTCTTTCTGTTTTCTCATTGTTAGTGTATAGGAATGCAAGAGATTTCTGTGTGTTAATTTTATATCCTGCAACTTTACTGTATTCGTTGATTATCTCTAGTAATTTTCTGGTAGAGTCTTTAGGATTTTCTATGTAGAGGATCATGTCATCTGCAAACAGCGAGAGTTTCACTTCTTCTTTTCCTATCTGGATTCCTTTTACTTCTTTTTCTGCTCTGATTGCTGTGGCCAAAACTTCCAAAACTATGTTGAATAGTAGTGGTGAGAGTGGGCACCCTTGTCTTGTTCCTGATTTCAGGGGAAATGCTTTCAGTTTTTCACCATTGAGGGTGATGCTTGCTGTGGGTTTGTCATATATAGCTTTTATTATGTTGAGACACCTTAAATCTATACAGCACTGCATGTCAGTTACATATAAATAAAACTGGGGGGGGGGGATGGGATAAAGGTGACTGTCAAAGGCTTATGTAAAAAAAGAAGACTTCCAAGATAGAGCAGAGCATGGGTCCAGGTGGTGGCTCTAGAAAGGCGGGGCTGGTGTGGCTGAAAGGGCTGTAAGAACCCAGACTTGAGCTGACCGTGGCATGCACTCAGTTGTAGATGGGTGGTGAGAGACTCAGGATGTATTTTGAAGGCAAATCCTAAAGAACTGACAGTGGCATGTGATAGAAAGAGGTGTTGAGAATGACTCGAGGGCCTGGTGCTTAGTGGCTGAGCAGACAGTAGCATCTTTAAAATTATGGTGCATGTGCAGAAGTAGGGCAGCGGAAAAAGGTGGTCAGTGCATTTTTGGCATTGAAGTTCAGGCTCAGTGATCAGAACTTCACGCCCTGGGGGGTTTTCTCACAGATTCAGCTGCAGCCCTTCCTATTGCTACAAAGTGGCGGTTCGCATGCTCCAAATGCAGCAGGCTGGCCTCTGCTTTTGTTGTTGCTGTTGTTTTGTTTTGTCTTTTTCATGGAAAAAGTTTTCTGCAAGTTTGGTAGCTGATTTGGGATCTGCCTGGGAAGTCCCATGGAGGAGAACTAGGGTACATTCTCTTCATGAAAAGAAGAAAAGGAAAAAATTCTAGCTTTTGTTTAGGGATGACCACTCCAAGTCACCCAGTGTTGGGGTCTGGGCAGACCAGGATCCCAGTAACTGTCCCCTTCGTGATGGGGAAGTTTTGGGAGGGGCTTCAAATTACCTAGAAACCTCGATAGGAGACCTGAAGCATGAAGGGAGGGGTCCTGGCTGTCCTGACCCCTGGGAGGGTGATTAGATCAGTCCCCATCCTGGCTTCAGGCCGGTCAGTCACTGTTCAGGAGTCCTGGGCTAGGCCTGGCTTGCCCTGCACATCTGGGGTCCCACACAGGCTTGCAGGAGGCAGGGAGGGCCCCCTGGTTTCTCTAGTGTCCATGTCAAGGGGTAGACTGGGAAGTAAGCTCTGGGGTCTTTGGCAGGCATAGCTTATTTATAGCATCTAAATATTTACCCACATGGCCTATGAGTTTCCACGTGAACCTTGGCCCTGGGCCCCACAAATATTAGGAGTGGGTCTACCCCCAGTGATATCCAGCAGTCGTTAGGAACTCTTGCACAAATCTCTAAAGCAGCCGTTTGCATTGTGTCCTTGATGGGAATTGCTGGAATATTCAATGTGATGAGTTCAACTGATTAAAGGAGAGCACCTTAAAAAACAATTTTTAAAAAAATATTTCAAAGTATGATTACAGCGTGATTATGCCCGAAGGAGATGATCTGAACGTTGGAAGCTACTGAATTGCGTTGGTTGTGTGTATTTGCGATGTGTGGCTGTGAGATGTGGGAAAGTAGTTGCTTCCTATGTGGGGTGGGAACCATCTGGAAACCACATGGTGGCCAGATCCCATCTCTGCCCCAAAGGCAAGATCAGAGCAGGTTCTAAAGACTCCGGCTATAGATGCCAGCATCACACAGGACGTGCTCTGCTCCCACTTTCTCCTAAGTCAGGTGGTCTACCCTGGATTCATTCATTGTTTTGTTTTTTGTTTTTTTTTGGCTGTGATGCATGGCTTGTGGGATCTTAATTCCCTCACCAGGGATCAAACTCCACCTTCAACAGTGAAAGCACCAAGTCTTAACCAAGGAACTGCCAGGGAATTCCCAACCTTGGATTTGGTTTATCTAGATGAACAAGAAGGTTTTTGTTTGGCTACGGGACAATCAAAGAGGTCTTACTGTCTTCTTTCCCTGTTTCTCCTTCCTAATCTATATGGGTCTAAGCTGTGGTCCTAAGAGTGGGGAGGGAAGCTTGTTCCAGGGTAATTTCACCTTCGGAGTCTGAGCAGGGCTTGGCCAGGTCCAGTGCTATGTTAGGGAATTCTCTAGTCTAGGGATCCCCAACCTACAGGCCCTGGACCACTTCCCATCTGTGGTCTGTTAAGAACCAGGCTGCACAGCAGGAGGTGAGTGGTGGGCCAGTGAGTGAAGCTTCATCTGTATTTACAGCCGCTCCCCATCACTCACATTAATGCCTAAGCTCTATCTCCTGTCAGATCAGTGGCATTAGATTCTTATAGGAGCCGGAACCCTATTGTGCTTGAATCTTCCTGAAACTATCCCCTCCACCCTGCTATCCTTGCTGTCCATGGAAAAATTGTCTTCCATGAAACCAGTCACTGGTGCCAAAAGTTTGGGGACCACTGCTCAAGTCAACAAGACCTGTGGACTAGTAAACCTTCTGGTGTAGGTTTAAGCTGTAACTTCCCCAACCACATATGGGAAAGAAGAAAGAGCAAACAAATCAGTGTGGAGATTCCCATCCTCCTGGGGTGTGGTCGCAACAGGAACTGGCAGCATGTGGACTGGATGGGCTGGAGACCCCTGGCCCCAAGTGACTGGGTCAGGGATTCCAAAATTCCCAGCAGGAAATTCGTGTGCTTGGGACGGTCCCTCCTTTACCTGGTTCTGTGGCTGATGGTGAGGACCCTCACCTTCCAAGAGGGGGGAGATATATTTTGTTGGAAAAGAGGTATATCTCTTAGAAGAATTTAAAATCAGTTTTGCAAGTTGTGAAATAGAAATCACTGTTCTGTTTCGTCCCCAGCAGGGCAAACATCAAAATAGGGAAGAAAAATAAAAACTTAGGCACTCTGGTAAAACCCCACTTGTGATGGCTTTAGCATCATCCTTTTTTGAGGAAGTCCAAGTAATAATAATCTATGTCATCCCCCAAACTCTGGTCAAGCTCCCTCTCTAAATGGGGCTTCTATTCCCACTTGAGATCTTTTTGAGCTGCTCATATAAACCCTAGGCAGCATTGGACAAATCCAAGTAGCTGAAAAAAGAGAAATAGTATGTTTACATTTTAAAATTTAGCTTAGAAGTATCTGTTTCTTTCAAACTGATCCCCCAACACCACTTATATTGTTATGTGATTAAATGCTCATATGACTACCCACAGCCCCTCTGTAGACTAGCAAGCTTGAGTAGAACGAAAACTGATTTTAATTGTAAAACACTCTGCTTGAGTTATGAGTTACAGGCATAATCAGAAAACCACAATTTCTTGAAGTTTTTATTGATATTACTGTAGTAGTTTTTAAAAAAAATGTTACATTTAACACTCTCTAATAGTAAATTAGTCAGTGCCTTAAAAATTTCCCTTTGAGGAAACTCAGGCTCCCTGTTGAAGAAATTCTATTTAAATTACATTGTTTCCAATGCTGTCTGTGCCAGGATCAATGTCAGGCCCTTGGCTGCCATTGGCCTTGGCTGTTGTTCATCCCATGCCACAAAAAAGAGCCAACACGTATGGTTTCAGGCGGAGTGTAATGTGCATCAGCTTATTTAATTTTCGTGACCCTGTTGAATGGATGACGTTATAGTCTTCATTGCTGACTATAAAGAACGGTGAGAGGCTTTTTGATGATGTAGTTTTGATTTGCATTTCTCTGATTTTTAGTGATGTTGAGCATCTTTTCATGTGGTGGTTGGCTATCTGTGTGTCTTCTTTAGAGAGAGGTTTATTTTAGGTCTTCCATCCATTGTTTGATTGTGTCGTTTGTTTCTGTTTTTTGATATTGAGCTACATGAGCTCTTTGTATGTTTTGGAGATTAATTCCTTGTCAATTGCTCTGTTTGCAAATATTTTCTCACACTCTGAGGATGGTCTTTTTGTTTTGTTTGTGGTTTCCTTTGCTACACAAAAGCTTTTAAGTTTAAGTAGGTCCCATTTGTTTATTCTTATTTTCATTTTTCTAGAAGGTGGTCAAAAAAGATCTTGCTGCGATTTATGACAAAGAGTGTTCTGCCTCTGTTTTCCTCTAAGAGTGCTATAGTGTTTGGTCTTACAATGAGAGGTAAAGCAACTTGGCCCAGATCTAACCTAGTTAGTAGGGCATCAGTGGAGTAAAAGCCTTGGTCGACCAGAATCCATAGCCCTTGCTCAGCATACCCTACTGCCTCTTACATTCTGTGTTCATGACAGTTCCACATCATATCAGGGTGACTGACCTTGGGACAATCTATGGGGAGACACTGGCCCTGCCCCAATCCTGTTGAAACTGAAGAAGGGTGAACCTTGGCTTACGTTTATTCTCCCAGGCCTTGCCCCTTAGGACCTTGCCCATTAGCACCTCACCCCTTAGCACTTTGCCCATTAGCACCTCAAATCCACCCTCTGGGGCAGGTGAAAACTTGTAGTCAAGTTGAATAAAACCGTTAGATTTTCTCTTAAGTGGACTAAAAAGAACTTTTGAGGTTTGATTCACCTTTTTTTTTTTTTTCTTTTCCTGTTTCTAGTTCCTTGAAATGAAAGAGACTCAGATATCAGAACTGCCTGAATGTCTCTGTCTATTAGTAAAGATTTTCCTGAAGCTTCATTGCACATATCCATTTCTGAGGCTAGGTATTGGGGAGCCTCAAACTCAGAGGCAGCTGGGTGACCACAGGGTACCCCTCCTCACCACCCTCCCGCCAGGGGGACCCTGGAAGTAGGGGGAACTTACGCAGGAGATACTCAGCTGTATCCTGTTCGTAGTCAGCATCTTCGGGGAAGTGATCAATTTTCTTGCACACGCCTCGGAAAGCCCCTGTGGAAACAAGTGTGGCCCTGAGTCGGGGAGGGGGGCAGAAAGAGCACCTGGGCCCACCCTGGGGCTTCTCTCCCACAGACTTGTGGGCTCTGCCTTGGTGGGACCATCAGCATCCTTCTTGGGGCACAAAAAGCAGATTAGTAGAGGAAAAAAATAAATAAAGCTGGAGACGGAAACTTTCTGCTTAGATTTTGCATGATCCTGGGTTCTATTTAGAAGGGCAAAGAGCTAGGAAGCATAAGCATTCATCGTGAGAGCTGTTAGTTTTTTCCCAGTCAACCAGGGGAAAGGGGAAAAGAAAGTGGATACATGTGTGTATGTATGTGCATGCTAAGTCACTTCATTGCATCCAGCTCTTTGCAACCCCATGGACTGTAGCCTGCCAGGCTCCTCTGTCCATGGGATTCTCCAGGCAGGAATCCTGGAGCGGGTTGCCATTTCCTCCTCCAGGGGATCTTCCTGACCAGGGATCGAACATGTGTCTCCTGTGACTCCTGCATTGTAGGTAGATTCTTTACTGCTGAGCCACTGGGGAAACCCAGTGTGTAGGCATATATGTGTGTATGTATATATTTATATATAAAAACTTGTCTTCCCATTTTACAGATGAAGCAACTGGCCAATAGCATTGTGCTTAAGGGACTTCCCTGGTGGTCCAGTGGTTAAGAATCCACCTTGCAATGCAGAGGACTTGGGTTCGATCCCTGGTCGGGGGAACTAAGACCCCCTCATGCTGCAACGAAGCCCCAAGGAGCCAAATAAATAAATATTTTTGGGGGGAGTGGGAGAGAGGCTTGCGAGGGAGGGGATATATATTAATATATAGTTATGACTGATTCGAATTGTTTTATGGCAGAAACCAACGCAACAGTGTAAAGCAATAATCTTCCAATTAAAAAACAAAACAAAACTGTGCTTGCGCTCAAATGCGTAAGTGGTGAGCCAGAACGCAGCCAAGGTCTGGGGACTCCTCAGTGTGGATTCCAGGCACGGATTTGGAGTAACCCACCCTCCCTGAGAGATAACACAGGATAGTCCCCTTTGACGATCCCCTTGCCTGGAACCACAGCTTGCTGGGTTGTGCTGTGTGGCTCACTCCTTCAGGAGGACAGAATTGCATGGGTATACCCTGGGGAAATGACTGTCAGCGTTCTATTCCCTTTTCTTCCTTCGCCATCAGCCTGAGTTAACTCATTGCTGGTGTTTGATAATCGTGGGTGTTTGCTAACTAGCCAATTAGCCAGTCTCTGGGGCAGTTAATGGCTCTGCCAGTTCTCATAAATGACAAACAATTTCAGAACCTCTCACCACAACACAGTGTGAAATTATGCCTTATTGTTCTTGTCTCTGCCCGTAGAGATGGCGTGGAGGTGAGGGGCCAGGTGGTGTCAAGGACCGCAGACAAGGCGTATATTCACACACAGCTGGGCTTATATTTTCAGAGTAGTTACTGTAAGAATTAAATAAGATCATATATGAAGTAAGATAATTTTTGCAAAGCTCTAGGCGCATCATTATAATGGCCAGCACCTTTGAAGTGCTTGCAGTGAGCAAGGCACAGAGCTGAAACCTACATTCTTCTCATTTATTCTCATCCACCACCCTAGGAGGTAGGGACTATTCACACTGACATTTGATGATGAGCCAATGCAGGATCGCAGAGGAGAGAGTGTTGTCACAGCTGGTGAAGGGAAGAGTCAATATTTGCATCTGGCTTTACCATTACACTATGTCTATTATTATCTGATAATAATAGGAGTGCTTTGCATTTTGAAAAACATTTTATTTATTTATTTGGTCCCACAGGATCTTAGCTGGGGCATGCGGGATCTAGTTCCCTGACCAGGAATCGAACCTGGGCCCCCTGCATTGGGAACACAGAGTCTTAGCCACTGGACCACCAGGGAAGTCCCGTGCCATGCATATTCTTAAATTTTTATTCTATTGAAGTGTAGTTGATTTACATTGTTCTGTTAGTTTCTGCTGTTCACCAAAATGATTCAGTTATACGTATATATATATATATATATATATATATATATATAATTTTTCATATTCTTTTCCATGATGTATTATTACAGAATATTAAATATAGTTCCCTTTGCTATACAGTAGGACCTTGTTGTTAATCCATTCTGTATGTTGCAGTTTGCATCTGCTAACCCCAAACTCCCAATCCATCCCTCTCTCTATCACCCTCCCAACCCCGACCCTTGGCAACAAGTCTATTCTGTATGTCTGTGCATGTATTTCTGCTTCATGGAAGTTCATTTATGTCATATTTTAGATTCCACATATAAGTAATATCATATGGTATTTGCCTTTCTCTGTCTGACTTACTTCACTTAGTATGAGAATCTCTAGGTCCATCCATGTTACTGCAAACAGCATTATTTCATCCTTTTTAATGGCTAAGTAACATCCCATTGTGTATACGTACCACACCCTCTTTATCCATCCCTTTGTTGATGGACATTTAGGTTGCTTCCTTGTCTTGAGGAGTGTCATGTATTCAACCCACACTACAAGTATGCTCCAAGCCAGAGGCGTTTCACAGAAAATGCAATGCGATATGATCCCATTCTCTCGGTTCTGAGTCTCCACTTACTCGGCAGAGAAGGGACTCAGAACCAAGAAGGGGACTCTTGGAGAGAAGGCTCAAAGAAATTCTTGGAATAAGAACAAACTCAGAACTCCTTCCCTGATATTGAGAAAAGGCCTTCCTTTTTCTTGTTTGGACTTGAGAGTTTCACCCACAGATTGCTGTTTGTTTTTAAGTCCCATCCCCTTCTACCCGGCTGGATAATAAATCAGAATAAGTCATACACGTGAAGTACTTACCGTATGTCACATGCCATTCTAAACACTTTACAGGCTTTATCCTCTCTAGCACTCAAGACAGCCTGGTGAGGTATCTGGTATTATGAGCCTTATTTTACAGATGAGGAAATCTATAAAGTAGGTGATTTTCCCAAGGACACAGCTATTAGTGGAACACTCATATATAAGTCTTTCAGACCCCAAAGCCAAGTTCATAATCACTACTCAGAACTTTATTCTCTTCAGCACATTTTAGAGTTGTAAGCAAAGTCCTTTGCCAGATGGCTCTGTGACCATTTCATGGTCCATCCACTGTTAGAAACCAGATCATAGGATGGTGGTTTTTCCATCCACTATTTTTCCAGGATTTACATCAGGGGCCACCGGGCAGGGCAAGAAGAGTGGCTGTGGGACCACCTGTTAATAGCTGTTTCACATTCTCCACAAAAGATTTCATAGGAAAGAAAAGCTCAGCTGAAGATTAAATGTGAAAACTACTGAAACAGCTGAAGATTAAATGTGAAAACTACTGAAACACACCAGTCAGAATCACACGGGACTAGAGAACTACACACACACCCAAATCTGCTTGTGAAATGGGCCTTACCTAAGGTGGCTTAAGGCAGCTTGAAACTAGGACGCAGAGCCAGCGAACACCAGTGACTCCTGGAGAAACGGTCAAGAATTTTAAGCGGTCTAAAGCATCGCACCACCTGTTTTGTACAGCCTACGAGCTGAGGCTGGTTTTTGCATATGTAGATGGTCGGAAAAATCAAAAGAAGAATGTTGTTTCATGACACGTTAAAAAAAAAAAACTAGATGAAATTCAACTTTCAGAGTCTGTAAATAAAATCGTATTGAAACACAGCCATGCCCATTTGTTTACGGTTTTTGTGCCAAAATGGCAGAGCTGGGTAGTTGTGGTAGAAACAGCAAAGCCAAAATTATTGACTGTTTACCTAAGGAGGCTTCCAAGGTGGCTCTAGTGGTAAAGAAGCCACCTGCCAATGTGGGGGACATAAGAGATGTGGGTTTGATCCCTGGGTTGGGAAGATCCCCTGAGGAGGGCATGGCAACCCCCTCCAGTATTCTTGCCTGGAGAATCCCATGGACAGAGGAGCCTGGTATGTTACCGTCCATGAGGTTGCAAATGGTCAGACACAGACTGTGTCCAAACTGGTGGGGGCGGGGTGGGCAAAAGTCGGAAGCAAATAGGAATTTGGGCCTTCTTGGGGCTGCAGAACTTAATCCAAGCTGGCGCTTCTGAAGCAGATAATGTTCATCCAGGGCAAATATGGACTGTAGAATGTTCTGTTTGGTGTGTTTGTTTGTTTATGTTCGGTTTTTCATTTGTAGTATTTTATTGTATTTTGATTTTAAATTTTATTACTGTTTTTAAATTAATTAATTAATTATTTTTGGCTGTACTGGGTCACATGTGCTACATGTGGGCTTGCTCAAGAGCTTTCTCTAGTTGGGGAGACTTGGGGGTTGGGTGACTGCTCTCTTTGCAGTAGCTTCTCTTGTCGCAGAGCATGGGTTCTCGGGCCCGCGGGCTTCAGTAGTTGTGTCTCCTGGGCTCTAGATTTCAGGTTCAGTAGTTGTGACTCATGGGCTTAGCTGCTCCTGAGCATGTGGAATCTTCCCAGGCCAGGGATAGAACCCATGTCCCCTGCCCTAGCAGGTGGATTCTTTATCACTGGACCACCAGGGAAGCCCTGTATATTTTTATAAGTTAAGTGCATTGCTGCAATTTAAAATTCATGATATGTCCCAGGAAAATCTGATTTGCAGCTCCTCTTAAACAATGGGGCACTCTGTCCCACATGTCCCTGTGGAAACAATCCCCAGCAACTGGGCATCAGTAGCCCCTCTGCCCCTTTGGACTGGATGTGAGCTCTCTAGTTGGCCAAAGTCCCCACCCGGCTCTACGTCACTTGAGCTATCTGTGGCGAATTACTTCTCCAAATCTCAATTTCTTCTTCTCCTACAGGATGAAGGTAATAACAATAATGACTTCATGAGGTTGTCATGAGAATTAATCGAGGCTGTGATAGTCACGCTGTACTCAGCAGTTTCTACAGAACTCTTTTAATCAGGCAATGATGTAAGGCACTTAGTATAGTTCCTGGCACATAGTAAGAACTCAATAAATGATAGCTATCTGTACCATTGGC